CAACTACATGTCAACTAATTCTCATTAATTTGCAACTACATGTCTACTAACTCTCAGAGTAGACTGTTAGGGTAGGTTTAGGGTTAGTAGAATAAGTTGACAAAGAAAGTGTTAGAAGATAGTCTTAAGTGTTAAGCAGACAGTCTACTAATACTCGACTAACTGCTAGTTGACATGTAGTTACAAAGTTACTTACTGTTAATAGAATGTCTAAAGTGGACTATCGAAATAAAGTGTTACCCATTGTTGAGATCTATTCTGATACTCACATGTGAGACTACTGGGGTATTTTTCTCATAAGAATCATATGAGAGGTGATGAGAGTGTGGTTTTCGCAGAGATACCATAGAAGAACCATTTTTTGGTTGCCCAAAGATCATTCTGGTGAACAGTTCTTAAAATAACCTTTTTTTTCCGTAGTGTGAAGAACATTTTAATAATCTGAAGAACCTTTTTCCACTAACAAAAAAAAAAAAAAACCTTTGTGCAATGAAAGGTTTCCATGATGTGAAATGTTCTTCATGGATGCATAGATGCCAATAAAGAACCTTTATTTTTTAAGAGTGTAGAAGAGACATTTGCAATATTAAAGATATCTCATTTGTGATTTCTCTGTCCTGTGAGATGTTATTTCACTGTTGTCAAGCCTACAGACTCAGAGATGGCGCTGAACCAAAGTAATTAGTCCAGTGGCGCCGGCTCTCGTGGTCTTCTATTGGTCTTGTGCTGTCCACACTTCCAGTGAGTGCAAACCCTAAATCTGTCATTTCGCATTTAGGTTTCCTGCTAAAATTGGCTCAGGGGTTTCAAGTAGGGTTACGTAATGCTTGAATTAGGTCTTAAGTCTCAGTGGATTTCATTTAGGTCAATTCTGATTCATTTCTTGACCTGGATGTTTACTGTGCACAGTATCTGCATGCAACAATAACCCAGCTAACATTGAATGTTCTCAGAACGTTCTGGCAAGGTTATGAACAAGCGTTCTTCCAGCATCATTAATAGAATGTTCATTTGAAGTTATCTGGCCTTAATAATGTTCTAAAAACATGAAATGGAATGTTCCCTTAACATTTGCATAACCAAGAAAAAAATATTATATATATATAAACTGGACATTTTGAACATTCAGAGAAATAACATTTTCATAACTTATATCAAAGTAAATGCACATGCACAAACAGTTCTTAAACTGATAAAATAATTACTACAATTCATGTCATGCTTATTTAGTACCATATGCACACATTGAATCTGGTGTTGTAGTGCACTTTTTCATTCCAACAATGGTCATGATTGCCTTTGATGAAGATGATAATACCACTATTATCTTATCAAGAGACCCTTCAAAAAGTTTTTAATGGAGTGATGGCAAGTTCAGTGTTTGCAAACGTCTTTTTTTGTATATCTATGAGACCAAAACCCCCGCCACATCACTGAGATGCACTATGGTCGTCCTAACAACTCCTTGACTTCCTCAAGACTTCTGTCAACATGGCTGCAGGCAGTGAGCGGCTCCACATGTGTTTGTACATGAGTGTGAACAAGCGATTTGTCAGCGTCCACCTCTAAGATCAGAATGATGAGGAGGAAAGTTCCTCAGACAAAAGCCATTTATCATCTGTTATGTTTGTCCAAGCCAAGAATAGGCCTTTTAAAGGGATGTTTGAAGTTCGGGATGTCTCTCTTTTCAAGGTTCTCAGGATGTTTCAGTGCACTGACATTCCCACTGACTTGTTTCTATGGGTATGGGAACAATTCCGTGTCAACGGTACACCACTAAATGAGACAGACCCCTTCACATAACAGAGGGTATGCATCACTCTTGTACCAACCATAAACTGGAATTTTAGAGACATGCAAACACTTTTCTGTAGCTGAAACTAATTCAATTGCACTAAAAGGAACTAAAGGAACACAAAAGGATATTGAAGAAAGTGGTCAGTTCCCATTGACTTCCATTGTAATTTTTGTCCATATTCGCCCCAAAAAGAAAAGAATGAAAGTCATACAAGTTAGGAATGGCATGAGGGAGAGTAAATGATGACTGAATTTTCATTTTTGGGTGAACTAGCCCTTTAAAGCAGCTGCTTCTTGAAGCTTTGAATTCTTTGCGAATCATTTGTTTCAAACCAGTTCTGAGTGCGTATCACACTGCCAAAGTCATGTGATTTCAGTAAACGGGGAAACGGGGCTTAGTTAGTTTACATTTGTGTAGAGTAGACTAACTAAAAGGAAGAGTAGTAGTTAATAGTCTCTTACTGGTTCTCCAAACGTGATGAGCGAGTACGAAATACCGCGATCAACAATAACGGCAATATATAAATGAAAGGGGCTCCAAAGTCGCAAAAATAGGCAAAACTACATAGAGTTGCTTTAACAGATTTAAACGACCCCTAAAGTGCATGTTTTTCCCTCCAGGTACACGGAGAACTGTCGCAGATATTCAGGAAAATGCAGCACGAGCGACGAGGATTTTTGAGAAGCTACTGAAGACCAGACCAATGACGACATTTCCTGACGGAGATGGAAAGACCGTAGTGATGAGAGCGTTAGACGAGATAATTACAGCGACAAGTAACCCAAATATCAGAGACAAACCCTTAGACATGGGAGTCAATAATCCATTAAAGACACTAACACTCTTTTCTGATGGTCACGATGAGATTCCGCCAGCACCCGGCGGCCGTGATGGATCTCTGAGGACTGACCACACAACCAGTTCATCTGATTCCCAGCGGCAAACGGAGAAGAGCAGACTGTTCAGACTGTCAAAGGTGATTGAATCAAACGAGTACGGCAACACTCCATCAGCAGCTGAACGATCTGATCCCATCACGGGGGAGCCGGATGCTCGAGAGGAGCTGGTGAAGATGCTGAGTGCACTTGAAGAGCTTCACAAGTTAATGAACAACACACTGAGCCATCGAATCACCATCATAACCAGAGGTGAGCCAAAACCTCAAATACTTTTACAAATGATATACACTCCCGAAAAGTTTTTTTTTTTTTTATCAGATTATAAATTGTTAAATTTATCATAATTGATCAAAAGTCACAGTAAGGAAATTTAAAATGTTCCAAAAGATTTTGAACTTTCTAGCCTATTCATCAAAGAATCCTGAAATAAAATGTATCATCGTTTCTACAAAAATATGAAGCAGCACAACTGTCTTCAACATTGTTAATAATCAGAATGTTTCTTGAGCAGCAAATCAGCATATTAGAATGATTTCTGAAGGATCATGTGACACTGAAGACTGGAGTATAATTATGCAGAAAACTCAGATAGCATCACAGGAATAGATTCCATTTTAAAATAAATTTGCATAGAAAATATTTATAGTTGTAATAATAGTTCACATTTTCACTATTAATAATATTTTTTGTTTGAAATAAAGTTGAAATGAAATAGATGCAATAATAGATGAAAAAATAAATGAAAAATAAAAGTCTTCGCAGCTAACTGAAATTAAGCTTAAATATTAAAATTACTAAAACTAAAATAAAATGAAATCTAAATAAAAATATTACAAGATAGTAAAGTGACACTAATATTTTTCATCAAACAAATGCAGCCTTGGTGAACAGAAGAGACTTATTTCAAAAACTTTAAAATCTTACCAACCCCAAACTTTTGAATAATATAAAATTGTATTCAATTTAATTTAATTTAATCTTGCCTTTTGTTGTGTTGTTTCTTTCTTCAAAGGAAATGGTAACGGACGAAGTAATGGGAAGAAGAACAAAATGGTATGTTCAGATTGAAATCAATAGATATAAATATATCAAAAAAGTTCAGTTTGTGCTTTATGCTAGAAATCATGTTTTATAACCTTCAGGTAGTGACAGATGGAAACCTGAAATCCACCGCAGCGACCACTATAAACAGCGGTGGGATTTCACCGAAGGCCAGCACTGACCAAATGGATCCCAAACTGAACGGAAAAGCCTTTAAAAAGTCTCTTCCATCAGCTAAGAAAACCAACAAGAGAGGTATGATGCAAACCAATTGTTCTGGATAACAAACGATGCTGAGTGCATGATAAAATAATAATAATAAAATAAACTGTGTATCTTTCTCCAAAAACAGTGTGCTTCTGGAAGTACTGCTCTCAGAACTGAGTTGAGCAGCCCATTTCGCCATAATTTCACCCAGCAACAAATCCTGTTCTCAAACATAGATGCTTAAAGTCTTCTCAAAGGACCATCAATAACACGACTGACCCCTCTGACCTCTGTGACGTGTGTACCTTTGACTTTGTGCACGAAATGCTCTTAATTTCCAATCTACAACGTCTTTGTTGTTGCAAGCACCAATAAAAATGACAAAGCATTCAAAAAAATACTGTGATAATAAAGAGAACTTTATTTTTCTACAGATATCTCTCTCGGTGATCATTGCAAAATAAGACAGTATTTAAAGAGTGACGTGCATTACTGTGATTGGCCTCACTGTACTAGTGTTTGCCCAAGTTCTCAAAGCTCAAAGTTAGAGGTCACTATGGTGATGATGAGGTAGCAAGTCGACTAGAAAGACAGGCTGTTGCTATTATGCCTTCTAAATTGATCTGATTGCTCAAAGAGCTGCTGTTGCTTGGGGGACGTTTAATGAGACCCTAAAAAATACAAGAGAACATGTCAAACCACCATCAATGACTTGCATATCAAAATTTTGTTCTTCACACAACCCTCGTTCATGATGGGAATAGGAAATTTAAAAAACGATAAAGACTTATGAAATCTGATTAGTTTAATTAAAGTCTCGTCAGAGCTTCAGAAGGCGTTCATGCAAGGTTACATAGTTGCATAAATAGCACATTTTAACAAGTTCTGTGCATAGATAAAAAAAAAAAAACTATCAAATATAAATGAAAAAGCATCCTAGACAAAAGATAAAAACAATGACCTAGAAATGTAATTAGTAAACGTGTGGAAAATAGCCTCATGTGATGATACAAAAGGATGGTTTCATTAAACATATTGCAAAATATATATATATATATATATATATTGTGAATAGGAAATGTAAATATACTGGCCTGACTAGAAGAATCATAAGTAAAAATTAAAAAATGCAAAAAATAGAGATCCAGAAATATAGAGATCCATAGCCTAAAAGTGATTATGAGATTTGGTCAAGGCCTTGGTGAACATTATGAATATACCATATCTACAGTAGTCTATCTATATAATTCATGGAGATGGATAGATACTTACAAAGTTGTTAAGAGTAACAGAGTTTTTTTTTTCCTGGTCCTGCCATTGATTGAAAGAAAATGGGTGTCAATCTACTGATTCAGGATCAATATACCACAGTATTAGTGCATCTCCACCAGTGAGCGCACACACATATATACGACACACACACAAGCATGTGATAGTGCTCTGAGCTAACAGAGCTTGTCTCATCATCCTGAACTATTTGATCTTTTTGGCGACGTCCAGGTAAGCAAACTCGATCTCACGCTCAGCAGGGCAGGTGTTCATGAACTCCTCTCTCTGGTAGGCGTTATTCAAATACTGCCAAATCCTGGTCATATCAGCAGGAATCTCAAAACCTCTGTACTTCCTGGCAACAATCTACAACACAGAGTATTGAGCTGGTAAAACTGGTTGGTAATTTAAAATCCAGCATATGCATGAGCGTGCAAAAAAAAA